TGCCAGACAAAGAGACTGTGGTGATGTATGATAATGATCCCAAGTCCAGTGGCATGGATCTCCCTGTGTGCCCAGAAGAAAGCATATACCTGCGTCCTGATCAGGACGCTATTGTACGAATTTGGTATGGCCCGTCCAACCCTCAACGTGAGTTGGTGTGGGCTGGGAGAGGAAAAAACTGGGTTACCAAGGTTCTGTACTCTGCCGGATCGGATCCTGGGCGACTGCCGTCGAGGTGGTTAACGTTTCAGACCAAAATGTTTGTATCGACACTAGGACTGCGGTTGCACGTATTGTGGAGTACGGACAGTTCCCAGGACAGCCTGGATTCGTTCGTCCTGGTAAAGCGCGATATGAAGAATGGCAACAATTAATCCATGAGTGTACCGTGTCACGCCAAGCAAGGATGCGAGCTGAGTGGTTAGATAAGATTCTCAGGGAAAAGGAACCTCGGTGCACCCAGACTCAGAGATATCAGTGGCCTACTAAGCTTTTAATGCGTCCACAGTCCCAAGTCGCTGAAGTGAAGATGGTAAAGTTGCAAGAAAAACCGAAACCATTGGACATGACACTCAAGATCATTGGGAATTTCGCGGTCGTCATGAACACAGTCGCGAAGGATCCCGAGGAGCCTGAGGCCCGTCCTGAGCCAGAAGAACATACACATCATGACTTGAGTCCAGAAGTTGAGACTCTGGACCCAGAGAGTATGGCAAATGTCGAGGATGACGCTCAGGTCCCAGAACCGTCAGTGGATGTCCAGTCACAGACGGGTTGTTCGACACCGGTCCAAAGGCTGGAGGCAGAATATGCTCGGGTAGTGCTAGTCTACGCCGAATAGCTGGGCCTGGAACCTGCCGTATATTTCAGGGAAGGAAGTGATCTAATGGCGCAGTCACGAGACCAGCTTATCATGCTCCCGGAAATCGAGGAACTGACCCCAGAGTGTAACATCGACGAAGCTAATGTCGGTGTCCCAGGGGTCACAACTCCGGAGATGGAAGCCAAGATGAGAAGGATCCTGAAACGTCATCGAAGCATCTTCCTGGGAGATGGTAACGCAGCTCCAGCCCCGGCTAGGGGCGCGGTGTGTGACATCGACGTTGGTGATGCAAAATCAGTGGCTTTACATGCGAGGCAGATTGCCGCACCTTTCTTGGTGAAGGTGTTTGAACTCCTGAAGAAGTTGTTGGAGGCAGAGCTCATTGAGCATTCAGAGTCTGAGTGGTCATCGCCTATTGTGATTGTGCTGAAGAAAAACGGCATAGACATCCGAATGTGTATTGACTACCGACTTCTGAATCTGCTCATAAAACTATCTCGCTATCCTCTACCCTTGATCGATGACCTGCTGGTAGACATCAAATCCGCGATGTGGTTTATGAGTCTCGATATGGCAAGTGGATTCTGGGCGGTGCGAATGACCGAACGTGCGAAGTTGATCTCTGCGTTCGTCTGCCCGTTCGGCCACTTTCAATGGCTCATCACTTTCAATGGCTCAGAATGCCCTTTGGATTGAAGAATGCACCGCTAATCTATCAGGGCATCATCAATAAGTGTCTGTGGGGATTCGTCCGGCTACCTCCTCCCGAAGAGGAAGCGAAGGTTGACTCAGAAGTTCTGGAGTTTCTGAATCTCGAGCCACAAAAAGTCCTGAAACCTGGAGTGGATATGAGGGATTCAGGTATCCCATCACTGGACATGACCGTATTCCGACGCAATATCCCGGCTCCATCACAAATGGGTCCGGTCTTAGGAAGAAGCTCGTATATTGACGATATCGCTCATGGGGCGTCGACCTGGGACCAACTATGTGAGGACCTGGACGCGTTGTTGT